TGGTTCTTCTTCACCATAATGGTCCAGAGCCTTCCGAGTATGTTTCTTTGAACGTCATTTATCATTAGTTTTGCGCTCGCTGAATGCGTCAGCGCGGCTTTTTTTGAGTATGCAAAACTTTCCTTTTGCAGGTTTGCTCTTCAACATCGCAGGATTTACGCAGATGGCCATCTGGGCCAAAAACAAGCATCGTGCGTACAAGAAGGAGTTCCCCGATTATCCTAAAGAACGAATGGCAATGGTTCCGTTTGTGTTTTAATTGTCCAGACTATGTTATCTGCCTTTCGCTAGTTGTACCGTTTATTGCTTAAATCTCTTTTCTCGCCTCTCAACCACTATGAATTGTCTGTGCACAGAGATTGCTTTTGTTGTACAATGTTTCCCCTACGTGCGTGCGTTTGCACTCGTAGATATAGACTTATGATTTACCGGTGTTTGCTGCAGCGCGTCCCCAAATCTGAAATCTATTTATTCTTTTGTGTTTTTTGTTTGTTGAATCACTAATAAAATGTTATGTTTGGTAATGTCAGATATATTGGTGAAATTCCATTTGTACAAGAAGACGGATTTTAGTTTATTGAGTTGACGGAGAAATTCTCGGTATACAGCGATCCACCAGGAAGAGTTGCTATTCATTTTCAACTCAGTTATTTGTCTGTCTAATAACTGTCAAAATTATTGAGAAATATAGCTGTTTCTGCAATTAACTTGACTCACTATCAGTTGGAAGCGAAGCCATGGCAGCCGTTTTTAGTCATCTGATGTATCATCAGGCCAGCCTCAATAAAGTTTATGTTCAAAAGAACGAGAAGGCTTGTTTCCCATTACCAAAATCTCATTGTACTACCTACGAAGCTACGACCTCTCCACTCAGTGTCGCAGATGCAATATTCTCCTTGCACAAGGCGCTTTCCTGCTTCAACGCCTCTAACTCTTTCTTCCATTTACAGAATGACTGAGTTGCAAGCAGTTTTATTATGTGGTGGTTCGGGCAGTCGTATGATGGAGTTATGCGATGGCATGTTCAAGTTTTTATTGCCCATAGCAAATGTGCCTATGTTTTGGTATCCACTCAATACGCTGGTGAATTCGGGAATAAAGGGTGAGCATTTGAAGCTTGGACCTTGCAGTAAAGATTGAACACATTTCGACAAGTTGTTATTCATTTGTGCTATTTGTACATTACATTTATGATGCAGATCTGTGTATAGGCTGCTGCATGACGAAGGCGCAACAACTCCGGGGGGCGAACGCGGCAGTTTTATTAGCCGCGGAGCGCATGAGGCGCAATTTACAACGGTAAAGATACGCGCGCGTCGCGTTCGCGCCCGCTTAACTATTACTGCTTCTGCGCCTTCG